CACATGGCATGAATGAATACATTTTGGGCTCATAATGATTGATCTTTTTTTTCCTCTCTGGAATATTTAATAACCAAGGACTTTAGTGCTTTTTTAGAAATAATAATTGGGCACATGTTAGATGTTTTTTAATTTTTATTTTTATTTTTGCAGACTATGCCTAGACCACATAGGGTCAAAATACACATAAAGACATTTTTGGTTAGGATTTAGCACCTGGTTTCTTTATGCATGAAGTCAGCTTGTTCTCCGCTCGTTTTCAGTGCTTCTCTCTCTCTCTACATCAGCTTTCTCCCGCAATCATAACTGTTTGCTTAATTTGTCCTTTTTGCATTTTTTTTTGTCCTCATGCAACCAGTGTGTGGTTGCTGATCTCTGTGTTGCTCTATGATGGACTGATGACCTGCACAGGTCAACCTCGCCTCTTGCCAAGTAACTGCTGGACATACAACCAGCACACCATCACTCAAATAAGTGTGTATAGACAATAGGTATATAGATGTTTAGCTAAATATTGCAGACAAGGTGTTTGATTTGTAGCCATCAAAAATAGTTCAGTCATAATTCTACTAGGCATCCCTTATTATCAGAAGTGTTGGTAGGTTTTCTGTCCTGGACAAAGACTTTTAGCACAGTTTATTAGTTTTCACAATCTCTCATTTTGGCATTACGATGGAGCATTCCAGAAGCTTGATGCTAGCTTCCTTCAATTTCAAATTCATTGAAGATGATGAATGTTTATATTTGTTTCAACTGTGTCTGTAAAAATGAAAGAAATTCACAATTAATTTAATCTTATTCACCTTCCTGGGAATTCTTGTTTTGCAGAATAATTGATGCTGAATGCCCTATGGTCGCTTCCTTAAAAAAATACATACATCAATGATGAGTGAATTCAAACTTCTGATTGGAACTACATTTGGTCGTCTGTTCTCACTATCTTCTCTTTGTTAAGCCTTCATTTTCTCTGACTCTGAGACCGAGCTCTCTTTTTTTTAAAAAAAAAAAAAAAAAAAAAAAAAAAAAAAAAAATCTCTCAGAAAGATGTAGCAACACTTTCATCTTCCAAAAGGGAAATGGCTGCTAACGTTTTGGCTGTACTGTTTGAAAGGAGAGAGCTCTCACATTAATCTTGCATTCAAACGGTAGACATAGTGGGTACATTATTGTAGCTATCACATAGCCTTGTCCACAAAAACCTAACCCAGCTTAAATGCAGGGCAGTGGCACCACGGGATAAAACGGACAGAGCAGCAGCATAAATCACTAATGTCTGCCACATCAAAAGCAAAACACTACTTCAATGCTGCTTTGAGTTTGCATGTACTGGGCTCAGGGGGAACGTGACTCACTGACTCAATGAAAAGCCAAGTTGTTTTTTTTCACACTTTGTTAAGCTCAAATGTCTGTTACAGTACACGGCATGTGTCCGTGCGTGTGTGTGAACCCTGAAGCCTCCCTCTTAGGACACTGAGATGATCTGTTAAGTCAAAACAAAAGGCAAAGCCACCTCTCATCTGCAGCCTGAGTCATGGCTGACCAGCAGCTCCCGCTTTCACCCAGCTTACTGCTGTGCAAAAGAGCACAAGTGCCAATCTGGAAAGGTTGGTGCTAAATGAAACAAACAGGGTTCTGTTTGCGCTCTGCTGAGAAGCACTCTGCCTGCAGCCTCTTCTGAAATTGGCTGCCTTCAGCATCGAGTCCTCCACTCCTTAGCGTTAAATGCTGCTTTTGTTGTCTTCAGCGAGTCCCGGTAGTAGTGCTGTGTGTTTGACTGCTAAGGAGAACTGGTTTCTTCGACAATGAAATCTGTCTGAAGTGTGTGCAGATTCTGTCTCCACAAATCACAACTTCATCTAAATGTCTAAATGCATTCATTTTAGACAATGGGGCAAATTTGCTGGAAATAACTTTGGAAATGGTATGAATAGAGCTACACGCAACCATGTGCAAATGTAAGTATTTCCGACATTTTGTGTGCGTTTTAAAATTTGCAATATTTTAAAAATACCTAGATACAGTTTAGATTAACACTCCCACTGGATCTACAATGGTTTTGGACATCCAGCGGAATAATAAAAAAAGTGTCATACCTCTCACTCCTTTTAATGGCAGCTCAAGTGCTCTAATGACTAGTTTCGACAATTATGTCTGAAAGCAAATCATGCAAAATCGATCACCCGAGTTGGTAAAACGAATGCTCAAAAATAACAAGCTGCCTTATTGATTTGAAAACATTGCTCATAATGACATTTGTAAATTCCCAGCACATGAAGTTACTTGAGCCTTGTCCTTATTGCACTATGATTTTTCTTCAATATTTCATAGTTATTATTTTGCCATTAAGTGGTGCAAATGAATAGGTTAGATTTATGGTAAGAAATGATTTGTCCACTGCACAGGATACACTAGATATGATCTTTCATTTACTTTAATTGCATTCTTTGAAGGCCCTTTAATCTGTCCCTGATGGACCTGATTTATATTTAACGTACTTGTTGGTGACACTGATGCTGTCTCTAAATCTATAACATATTAATATTTTTATCACCTCAGTAGTGTTGTCTAAATCTCAGAAAAGAGAAAAATCTTCTTACTTTGCTGATGTAGAAATTCAGAAAGGCTTTAGATAACTTTAAATAAAGATAATTATGTTTAACTCTGAATCAGAAGTCATCTTTTTATTAAATATAATGATATATTTTTTAAATCTTATGTGGAAACAACTTCTGGAAATGGTGTTTGATGTATGACAACAGTATTTGGCATTATTGGTTTCATTGTTGTGTTAAAAAAGTGCACAAAAATAGAAGAAAATCCTTTTATCTTGGCTGAGTGTCATGTGACCTAACCCATCCATATTATGCTTCTGATTGGTTGCTCGGGATCTTCTGATGACTTCTACCCTAGAACCTGCCAGCTCCTGAGTGAGTTAGTTCTTAAGGTTAAACCTCAAAGGGAAAAATGACAATGAGCAGGAGGTTTTGCCTGCAGGAGTTCACAAGTTCTTCAGAAGTTTCCTTGAATCCAGTGGGAGGAACCACCAGAACATATGACACATTAAACTGGAGCTAACAAGCTTCCATTTTGAGGGACAATTTGGATGGAACAGCAGCTTTTGTGCTGAGATGGGACCTGAAGACTGGAGTGTTCCAGAAATACATCAGGATTCTTCAAAATTATTTATTTTGGTTCACCAAGTGCACTTTCAGAATTGAAGATTTAGAATAAGTATAAAAATACATATTCATGTGAAAAAAAAAAAAAACTATTAAAAATCTGCAGCTTATCTACGGTGTCCTTCAGGGCAACAAACAGACAACAAAAGTCCAAAATGCATTTCATTGAGTTGAAAGAAGCCGTGATGACCATTTGTAGTTTGAGCGTATGGAATATTGTCTCTGAACTTGATTTTATTGTTCACGATGTTCATATTGACATTAATTTAACCATAACGAATGAATAATCACTGTTCTTCTAATCTAGCATGGCATACTCTTGTTAAAATTAGTTAGATTAAATTTTGGCCTTTTTCTGCATATGTATGCAAGATTATTTTTCCTGATGCATTAAGTGAACAAGTCTAAGTACAACATAGCTCATATAGGTGTCTCTTTTAAAAGGATTGCATGTTATCAACCAGAGGAACTATTTTAAAGATCAATCTCTCCCTCTTTAGGAACTTTCAGGATTTCCTTTACCTTTGCTCACATCTGCTCTTTCTAAAGTTGTTTCTTGAACAAAGCAACTTTAAAATCTACTACATTGCAAAGAAACGTAGTCAGGAGTTGTATTCTGCATTCTATGACTAGAAAAATTACAACCATCAGGATCTAGTACGAGAAAGTTGTCAAAAAAAAACAAAAAACAAAAAGCATGCACTATTCATCAAATTTTAGGCTTCTTATCTTATTTTTGAACAACGATGTGTGCATTTTCTTTTCACTTTCTTTCATTACACCACATTAAGCCAGTTCTACAAAATAAACACACAACTCAAATAAGAAACAGTTGCCGTCTCACTCTGCAGGGCTCAGATGGTGTTGTGTACAGTCATATGATTTCTGAAGATGCTGCATCTGTTAAATATTGCATTCCCATAAAATTGAGCAGATTTGCCACCGGTTAACCGACAGCAGCAGAAGAATAGCAAACACAAAAAGGCTGATCATTGATTCTGCTTATTGTCATAAGACAATGACAGCAACATTACAATGCCAGATGAACCTAGTGTGCGTCAGATCCAATACTCCTCACACGAGCAACCTTTGTTTGCAATGTGGACGAGGTGCATGAGGAATGAAAACTAAAAGGTGCTTTGACAGCAAACTTTCTTCAAAGAATCCGTTGGTTGGAGCAGCATTCCCACCAATTTAATCCAAGCTTGGGATCCACTGAAGCAAAGACTCAGCTCAATTTTTCTGCAGCAGCAGCAACAACAACAACAACAACAACAAAAAAACAAACAAGCAAAAAAAGAAAGAAAAAAAACAACTCTGAGGATTTAGCAACTGAACGAGATCATGACTGGAATTAAATCCTCTTCAGTATTGATTCAGAAGGAACGGTAAATTTATTCAGTGCTGAAGACATAATATTACACTGAGAACTATATTTGCTCTATAAACAAATCAACAAAGAAGAAAGAGGTTTTGAAAATCAGAGGGCCCAAACTGAAGGCTGGTTTCCACCATCTTTGGAAAGCACGCAATGTGAAACTTGCAGATCCATGCATAATAGGGCACTACTCAGTTAAAATGAACTGAACTTACCCAGAATTAAACGTATTTGTTTGATTAAAATTGTAATAATTTGAATGGTAATCTTGAATAGCTTTCAAAATGTCTTTATTTAAAGTATTCTGGTTAAATACATGAGGAAAGCTGTCAATTGTGCATGAGGCTTTTTTTTTAGTGTATGCCTGTATTCGTATTAAAACTTCACATCAACTTGTCATCAAGAGATCAAACCGATAAAGACATCCAAGTTTGCAGACTTACTCTTGTAGCTCGTACTCCACGGCTGGTATCCATAGTAGCCGGTGATCCGCAATATCCGCTCCTCTATGGACGCGCTGTTGATGTCCTCCACTGAGCGCGAGGACTTGAGGTCCTCCTTGATGGCCTCGTCCACCACCAGGTACTTGAGCTGTCTGAGCTGAGGGCTGATGTCCGAAAGCCTTCTGGGGCTCACGTCGGGGGACTTGCGCATCCCGCTGGGAAGAGAAAACAAAAGGGGGCTGACAATGTTATCAGACCGAGCGAGGCCGCTTGGTAAAGGGAAGGGGAGCAGATAAAATTTGACCTGGTGAAATAGGAGGCTAAACCAGGGAGGCTGGTGTTGCGTGTCCCACAGATCTGGGCGTCGAGGGCCCCCGTAGCGCCTCCCTTGTACCGTAGAGAAGTCACGATCATCATCATCATCTCTCAGTGGTCCGCACAGCAGCAGTGAGTGAATGACACTAAACCAAAGTGACTGGTCCTGCAATTGTATACTACGCGCAGTGCGTCTCTTATTATAGGCTTATCTGAGTGTGTAGCTAATGAATCGATCATGAGTGATTTGCAGAGATGGAGAAGCAACTCCAGTGACATCTCAGGGCGTCCAGTGGGCACTGGACCACAAAAACTGCGCGCACTATAGGCGTGAGCTTATCCAGAGTTAGGTCTACATGCAGAGAAGATAAGTAGCCTACTTGGTAGCAAATAAGCACCAGGTGGAATAAAAGGAAAAGGCAACAACCCAACAATGAGGCTCGCGTTGATCTGTCAGCCCCTGAGCTGTTATAAAACCATTGTCATGTGACAGTAAAACCGCTTTTACAGACCCAGTCTGGAAATCTATTCAAATGCAAGTACCACGTAAGTTTAACTACTTATTTGCATTTAAAACACCCATCACGCATAAGTGCAAAATTCAGCTATAAAGCAGCTCAACGCGTAAAGTCAACTTTCCATGCGCACAGGTGAAATCAAAAGCGCAACAGGTTCTCCCGCTTCCCCCAGAGCGTTTTTTCTTTTTTTTTTTTTTTTAAAGTTAAGATGTCTTACATAGGCAAAAGAGTGGTCGGAGGTCCAAGGTAGCACATGTAGTCCCGGTGTGGCCGTCCGACCCGGTCCCACACAGTGCCCTCTCTGTCGCCGAACATCCTCCGGAGGTGAGAGGGGGCGACGCACAGCAGCGCACGATTACAGATAACCTAAAACCTCATCCAGGCTGGCGGAAACAGGCAAGAGCACCATCGTCCGTCTTCTGCTCATCTCCTCGAGCATATGCCTGGCCACTACAGCGCAGACTGCTTCAACTAACTGGATGCGCGCTGCTCTGGATGCCTGCCGCTGCGCGCGCGCCTTGACGGCGGCACGGCAACAGCGTCATCTCCCGGATAGCCAGGAATATGATGGAAGATCACTCTTCCACCATGAAGAGCGATCTGTACCAGCTCTGATCCAGATAAGGTGTACAGTAGCTCTGACTTCCTTTTTAAATTCTAAACGTGTAAAGGGCGTCAAAGTAAATCCTTTTGTTTTGTCACAACAGAATGAACTCACAAGTTTTTTTTATTTTCATTTTATTTATTTATTTATTTATTTATTTATTTATTTAAAAAAACACCAACTACAATCTAACTAAACGATTCGTTTGATTTTTGTTCATCAAAGTGTCAAAGAACTATGAAGCATGCAAGAAATTCTTGTAATATGCAGCTCTTCAAAGTGGGAAAGACAAGAAAGCATCTCACTCAAGGGGGGCCTATCTGTGTTAATTTTCAAAAGTCAGAAATTAACTTCAAAAGAAGGGCTTGGCTAGAATTGATTAGCAAATAATAATAAAAAAAAAAGCAAGCAATTGTCTTGTATTAAATTAGCATTGCAACTAACACTTCTCCCATTAACAAAATCCATAAGTTAGGTTCAACAGAAAATTAAAGTAGCTAT